AATTTGAAACAAATTCTGCCATTCAAAGAACATGGAAGGTAAGACTGCAAGGCAATCTGGACCTTGTGCCTCAGTGGAGGTTCCAAAAGGGAAGAAAGACCTCTTGATACAATTAGAGGACATCAGCAGATTCTGTCCAGAGGAAGAAAGAGAATGTGAATAATGTCTTCCAGTCATCAGTATCTTCCAATATCACCCTGGGCAAGATGTGACAGGGGCCTTTGGTGTAACTTCTGCAAGCACTTTAAAAATGAACACAGTTAGGATTTCTGTGGTCTTTGGAGGTGGTAGTAACATCAAAGTTTTCCCATTTCCAGGTTCAGTGGATCAGAATTCAGACAATAATGAGAATCCTTCTATGGATCCTTTACCCACCAAACAAGATTTCTTCAGAAACCATCTTGCCTTTGCAAATGACTTGAATAAGAAATAGCTGTGTAAAATATAAAATTGTATTGTCAAATGATGAGATAAAAAGCTCATGTATATCTGTGTAAGATAATATATATTATTATATACTAAATAAGCACATATTTAATTTATATAAACTGAATAAACATAAGATAGCAGAGAGATATAGATTAGTCCAAGATTAGGACCTAGAATTTTGAACATCTCAATGTATGGGAAAAGGAATACTTTTTATATCATTACAGAAAAGCACAATAAATTTGAAGGAAAGTAAATGTAAGAAGAATAAAAACAAAAAGAATATGAAAGACTTCAAAAAAGACTAAAGGCTATACAGAGAAGCCATAATGAATTTTGTAGTCGAATTTTGTTCTCTTACATGCTCTTGGTGTCAGTCCTGTTAGCTTTCAGTCACTGGGCATGGAACTTCCTTTCCTCCTCATAGATTTGAGGAACAGTATCAGAGGATAGACCTCTGCTTGGCAGGAGATTAGAACTAGAAGAGGAAGTGCTAGAGGAATCAACTCTCCTGAGGAAAACTGTTCCTAAAGAAAGGCAGATCAAATAGATGAAATGAGAGATGCAGGAAAACTTGAATTTTTGTTTTGTTTAAATATTTTTGGGGGGACTGGGGTTGTGGTTCAGCAGTAGAGTGGCTCGCTTATGTGTGAGGCATTGAGTTCGATCCTCAACACCACATATAAATAAATAAAAAATTAAGGTACAACAACAAGAAAAAAATATTTTTTAAAAAAATTTTTAATTGTAGTTGGACACAATACCTTTWTTTATTTATTTATTTTGTATGTGGTTCTGAGGATTGAACCCAGTGCGTTGCACATGCTAGGTGAGCGCTATACCAATGAGCCCACAACCCTAGTCCAGAAAAACTTGAAGTTTACTGTGTGACATTGAGATGCTTTCTTACTGCTTGCAAAACACTTAAATATGCCTCAAGAAATGTGCCAGCTGCATGTTATGTGTTGAGATTTTAGGATTGTACTAATACCAAGTGGAGCATTAACAACTTCTGAGCTATTTAGAATACTCATTGCCAATCCTTTGAGAATGTAAAAAAATAATAATAATAAAAGGAACTAATGGGGGCGGTTACTGAATGACTGAATTGCAATGAGTGGGACTAACCCATGTGATTGTAATTTTAGGTGCCTGTGGCATTTGATGATGTCTCCATCTACTTCTCCACTCCAGAGTGGGAAAAGTTGGAAGAATGGCAAAAGGAGCTTTACAAGAATATCATGAAGGGAAACTACGAATCTCTTATCTCCATGGGTGAGGCTGAGTTGGCACCTTCTGAATGAGGTGACAGCAGCCCCAGAGAGGGCGGAGACAGACTCTTTTCCTTTACTGTCCTCATTTTCATTGTGTCTTTACTGCAGAGTTTTAGCTTAGTTTCCAAGCTAAAAAGGCCAATTCACACTTGCTAAGTAGGAAATCATAATCCCTCCTTTTGCCAAATCCTAGGGAAGAATGACATTCGGGGCTGTGAGTCTTGTGAACTGGGGGTTTCCCTGGGTGTCCTTCACATTTAAAGGAGCTTAACCACTCTCCCTTGAGGCCTGCTGTCATTCTCATCCCCATGAAAGGAGCAGTGGGCAGAGCTCACCTGGCACGTTTGCTTTCCCTCATAGTACATCTGCTTGTACCTGCTTTCTTGAGTAGTTATCATCTATTGTTGGAATTGAATTGATGTAGAGAAGCCATATTCAATCTAAAAGAAATTCCTGGGGACCTTAAAGATTGTACTCAGCCTTAATGGCTGTTGGTTGTCATACTTCATTTAGCTCTGTCATACCTGCTCTCCCTTTTTCCTCTCGTAGATTATGCCATGAACCAACCTGATGTCTTATCTCAGATTCAACCAGAAGGAGAACATAATACAGAGAACCAGACAGCACCAGAGGCAAGTGAAATTCCTGCAGACCCCAGTGAAGGTAAGTGGGAGTAGAGATTATCCACTCTTCATCTCCCTTTCCTGGTCAGAACTAAGTAAGCAGGATTTCAGGGCTTCCTGAGCCATTCATTGGTAAATCAACTAGACTTTGAATGGGTATTTCTATCTTGGTAAATATAGAAGAGCTTGGAGATCACCTTGTATATTGCCATCACTGATCATTACCACACATCTAAGGGTCCTTGATGAAAGTACTAAATCCTAGTTATTTATTAAAATAAACATGCTTACATGACAAGGAATCATGCTGGTGTGGAGTGCAGAGGCTCTGGGAAGGTGTGCCTGAGAGGTACAGAGGCCTAGCAGTCCATATAGTCCCTCCAGAGTACCCTTAACCAGTGGACCCCTAATTTCACCTGCCTGGAGAGCTAGCAGAGAAAGCTGTGGTCCTGTTGTACCATCTCATGTCCTACCTTGGCTGTCAGAAAATCCTCATACATCTTTTTTCTTTGCTGAGTAGAAGTTACTCACAGAAAGTTTACCCTCCAGATACCTTTATCAGATGAACTTTGATCACTATCCCCTACACTGGCATTTTTTAAAATATCTTTTTATTTTGAAAATTTTCAAACAGAAAAATTGAAGCAATTTTATAGTAAACACTAGCTATCCAGCACAAGATTCTACCACTAACAGTTTCTCAGCCTTCTTAATTCACATATATCTATCTCTGTACCCCTCTATCTGGCCATTCATCCATCAACCTGTTCTGTTTTTGACATATGTAAAATCAGTACAGACATCAGTACATTTTCTTCTAAATAGTTTAGCATCAATATTATTAACCTAGGATTCAATATTTTTTTTTCCTTTTGAGGTAAATTTTACAAAATGTTCAAATCTTAAGTGTATCTTCTCTGGGTTTTGAGCAATACATACATCTGCTATACATATTTTTTAAGAATGTGTGGATGATTGCATATAGGTATTGAAGTAGGTTTAATCTGATTAATCTGTATCATGATAAAGAATATGTCTAAAATAACATCACCAGATGGGTGATTTGATTATAGAAAGATTCATTATCCGATGTATCTCTTTAGTCCATATTGTTAAGTGCCTGATGGTTCTCAGCTAGATTAAGTGTATCATTTTATTTTGGGGGGATGGGTGAAAAAGATACAAGTAATTTGGTTTGATAATGATGTTTCAAAGTTTCATTTAGCTGTTATCTTGTGAATTTATTTTAAAAGCCTTGGTTTTTAAGACTCCGTTTCTGGGTAGTCAACCTGCATACCTTAATACATTTTTTATTGAAAATGAACAATGTGTTTGATTTATTTAACACTCTGATTTTATTCTTTATAGTTTTAGCTTCCATTCAAACTAGATATTTATCCAAACTCGAGAATAGGACTCATGTGACTTAGGCCAATTAATATGTTACATTAAAAAAAAAAAAAAAAAACACCACCTCACAGAACTGGACATTTAGTAGTACTCATAGCTAAGATTTGTTATGGCAAAAGGACACAAAGCAACAAAGGGAAAAGGTACTGAGGAAAGGAGAGACAAGCCTCCCTAAGCCTCTCCCAGGGACTTTGAAGAACACACTTACTTTACCCCACGATGAATTACAGCAACACATACAGAGTGTTGTCAACCAGAGCATCTCACCAGATACTCAGTACCAGGATCTTCAGTTAGAGGCTGTCACACAGACACCCTCTGCCCATACCCAAATTCCAGACTCCCAGTAGAAAAGTAGGCAGCCAGTATAAGCCACACTGCTTGACAAATAGTTTAGGCAGAATGAGTTACTTTTAGCATTTAGGGAAAGTTTTATATCAGTGTAGAGAATGGTTTGCTAGTCAGGGATGGGCCCTGCAAGCAGGCCCTTCTAAGTCTGAGGCCTATTTTGAATCTTCTCCTTTCACTGAAGAATAGTATTTAACCACTGTCTAGTCACAGTCATTAAAAGACTGTTCCACACAAATATTAAGTGGAGGGTACTAACGTTAGGTTACTTTTGTGACAGGATTTAAAAAATATCTTTTTGGAGGCAGGAGGATGTCAAGTTCAAAGCCAACATCAGCAACTTATGAGGCCTTAAGCAACTTAGTGAAACCCTGTCTCAATATAAAAAATAAAAAGGACTGGGAATGTGGCTCAGTGGTAAAGTACCCTGGGTTCAAACCCCAGTACCAAAAAGGGGTAAAGAAATTAGAAGCCATGGACTCAGGCCAAGATTCTAGAATGACCCAAAATTAACTCAATTCTAAAACTTACAGTCCCAGGGAGATGTTTTTGACCATCAAAGTTCATTGCTGTTATCCTATCTTTATCTCTGGTTACTTCAATTCAGTATAATCAATTTATTTTTTAATTTTTATTTTATTCATTTTAGTTGTTGATGAACCTTTATTTTTAATTTATATGTGGTGCTGAGAGTCAAACCCAGTGCCTCACACATTCAAGGCAAGCACTCTACCACTGATCCACAACCCCAGCCCCTAAAGTCATTTTTCTTAAAGAAAATCAATGATTAAGTCATATCCTAATTTATAATAATCCTGTATTTTTGCTTCAAGACTACATTAGCTTAATTTATTTGTGAATAAGAATCATCAAAATATAGAGATTTTAACTTATTGCACAAATATTTAGCACATTCACCTGGCTAGGTTATAGACCTACACCTGTTTTACGAAGTTGGTTTTTTTTTTTTTTGTTTTTTTTTTTAAAGAGAGAGTGAGAGAGGAGAGAGAGAGAGAATTTTTAATATTTATTTTTTAGTTCTCGGCGGACACAACATCCTTGTTGGTATGTGGTGCTGAGGATCGAACCCGGGCCGCACGCATGCCAGGCGAGCGCGCTACCGCTGAGCCACATCCCCAGCCCCTGGTTTTTTTTTTTTAAGTGTCTGTACTTTTAACCAATAGTTGTTACCCATCTCAAGTATTTTTATAACTTTCTTAGAAGCCAGATCTCAACACGTTTTATCTTAGCTACTTTTCTAGACCTTTGCACAATCCCAGAACCTCGAGTTTCTAGCCCCCTTTCAGAAAGCATGGTATATATAAGTTTAAAACACACACAAAAAAATTAACTCAACCAGATTCACACTTAAAATAGCATTGAATCAATATAGACATTAAATTTGTATTTACTGTGATTAGCCTTTTTATTTTTAACCACTCTCAAACATAAAATCTCAGCATTTATCTAGTTTTTCTCACTTGATTGGTATCCAGTTTTTCTCTATTCTCTTGCTTTCCCCGTGGCCTGCTACTTGCATGGTCCAATGACATGGCTTTCCTTTTGTGTATTCAGCATTGGGCCTGTGAGGAATATGCTTGTAGTGTCACTGTGCTGACCTGACCAGTGTCTGTCGTGCTGTCTCAGAGCAGGTGTCTGCACCAGGCCATCCTGGCTCCAGGCTCTCCAATTCTCTTTCACTTTCTCAAGGCCCTCCTTATATACTCGCACTGCTCTTCCTAGATTGGGGTTRACACTGCAGTGTTCTGTGTGTTCTGTGATAAGAGTGCTGAGAAACAGTAATCTGATAAAATACATGTTTTGATCCAGCTAGTTAAATGGCCAGAGGAACTTTTAGACGTTTGGCGTCATTCAGAAAGAAGGGAGCTGCACGTGGTAATGTGGGCCTCTAGTCCCTGCTACTTGGGAAGCTGAGGTGGGAAGATCACTTGAGCTCAGGAGTTTGAGACCAGCCTGGACAACATAGACCCCATCTCAAAAAAGGGAGGGAAAAAAAAAAAAGGGAAAAAGAAATTTAGGGGCTAGGGTTATAGCTCAGTGGTAGAGTGCTTGCCTACCATATGTGAGGCAGTGGGTTCAATCCTCAGCATCACATAAGAATAAAATGAAGATATTGTGTTCCCTTAAAATAAAAAATAAATATTAAAAAGAAAGAAAGAAAAGAAATTTAGCTTCTTGGTATGTCCCAAGTCCAGGGAAGACATTTAGCAAGGAGATTCTAGCAGTGCCAGCCACTTAAATTTCTAGAGAACGGGCTTGTTGTTTAGCTGTTCATAGCTTTTATGGTTGGCTTCTAACTAATATTGTAGGGAAAAGACTGGAAAGAATCCAAATGCTTATCGGTCAGGGATTCTTGAATAAACAATGGTGCAGCTACGTAGTACGACTATAAAAAGGAGTGAGAAAGGTCTTACCACTATAGAGAGATCTCCAAAATATATTATGAAGTGAAAAATCCAAGGTGTAGTTTATATATTTTATGTGGCATGCCATACTGGGTCAGAGAGGGAAGGTATGAATGTATACATTTTTGCTTATATATTCACAAAGAAATGATGGAACATTAAAACAAAAACAAACCAGAATGACTTTCTCTGTATAGAGATGGAACCATAGAGATAGAACCTAGACTTCTCTAAATACACCTTATTTTATAGCTTTGATTTTAGAGTGCTGTAAATATTTTTTAAAATTTTGAAAATCAAATACATAATAAGATATCCAAACCTAATGGTATGTTAGGTGACATGAACACACAGATTTATTTCAAGTGACTTTAAAATTTAATGTTTTAACTGTATGTCCATAGAAAGACACATCCCAAAGACTAAAAGAACCACAAAACAACAACTTTGCATTCATATTTTATTAGTATATTGGTATCATTTTGGCATATATTTAGATGAAGCAAAGACCACGTTAATGTCATTAGAAATTAAGCTTTTTCAGGGTAAGAGAGGAAAAATACTAGTATAAAACAAAAGGATTTAATTTAAACCCAGTAATCTTACATATGAATCAAAAATATTAATATGGACTCATAACACTTTTCTTTCTCTAAGAAGTATATTTTTATAACTTTGTCCATTGAAAAGATCTAGAAACAATGATACCTGATATTATGGTTTGGATGTACGATATCCCCCAAAGCTCACATGTAAGACAATTCAAGAAGGTTCAGGGAAGCCAGGTGTGGTGGTGCACACGTGTAATCCCAGCAGCTTGGGAGACTGAGGCAGGAAGATCACGAGTTCAAAACCA